CCACGTGATTACTGCACTGTCTCAGCTGTTACTAATCATTGACCATCTTCTGCAGGAGTATTTCCATGCCATAATAATAACAAAGCCTACTGCAGTCAGTTAGAGGTTCCACTTGAAGCAGCCCAGAGGGTTAGATGGCTTTCTGGAGGTAGTTCCATGTGTTTGTGACCTTATCTTGCTATAGTTTTCATTCAACTATGAAATTAAATTGCAGGAAATGATTCAGTTTCAAATCATTCTATTTAGACTGGCAGAAGCCAAAAACCCTCCTGTGAGCTACAACAATGTGGACTGTTATTCAGATGGGAAATGTAAATATGCCTGATGAATTGGACCAGAAGTGCAAACTGTTCTGAAGCTTGGATTCTCAGCTTCTATTCCAGACAGTTTTGTTCCTCCAGAGCCTCTTGTTCAGGTGAAAAATGTTTTCCTTTGGTTCTTTCTGTGTAGGGTGTATGTATATTAAGACTTCTGGAAAACAGTTAAGCACAACAGGAACCAAGACCTGGAGGAAGCTTCTTTCTAAACAATCCAGCATCCTCTTCGAGTTAAGAGCAGAAGAACATTTAAGTACATGGAAAAAAACCTTGCTGTTATGGAAAGTTAAGCTTACCAAGAGTAAACCATGAAGTCTTTGTTGTTTTAAACTGACAGAAAGTGAGGTCAGAAGCAAGCCTTATTCCTCCCATAATCCAGAGCCTAAGATCTACAGTGGCTTTTCTTTTCTTTTTTTTTTTTTTTTTTTTTTTTTTTTTTTCCCCATAATAATGTTCACATTGTCCATTAAGGGTGATTTGATTTCAGGTGTCAACCTAGACATCTGGGTAATAATCTTTCTCAGTATGAACCTCTTATTTATGGAGTAGTCTTTGCTTGGTTTTAACTGCACTTTCTTCTCCTGTATGTATCAATTATCTCTCCTGCTCCTTCTTAGAGTCTGTCACCTTGTCAAATATTGAAATAGGAAGATTTATTTATTGCAGAGGATAGGGAAAAAAAAATATGTCTTTCATTGTGGTCTCTTGCTCTTTATTGTACCCTAGATTTTAAAGGCAAAAGTGCAGCTCTTGTAACCATGTCAGTTCTTCACACTTCCTACTCTAAGTAGCCCTTTTCTGCCTCTCCTCTGGGCATTGCTGCGAGGGCCTGTGCCTTTCATGCTCCCTTTGAACCACAGCTGTTTGTTTTGCACTGTGCCACATTTGTTTAGAATTTGACCAAATGACATTATGGATGAGCAATGGGAGGAACAGCTTTCATGGGAACTTCAGGTAATCTTAGATCAGCTAGTTGTCAGCTGCATTGTGTTACTATGCAGCATGCTCATTCCTCTTTTGATGTCTTTGCAGATGTTTTAAGCTTCACATAAAAAAAATAAAGTATTTATACAGACACATTACCTCACCTGAGATGGAGTCATTGTGCTGTACACTTTACATACAGGAAAAAAATGCTTCTCTGTTTCTCCTACGAACTTGGCATCTAAATGATCAAGACAGATAAAGCTTTGGAAATGAAAGAGAGGTCCAAGGTCACCTCTGCAGGAAAGCAACAGAACACATCTCCCATTCTGCAGTCAGGTGACAGTCTGTCCTGTCTCATTTATAGCAGCTTCAATAAGATGACATTTCACAAATCCAAGAAACAGACACTGCCCATTTCCATACTTGCAGGAAGAGTGTCTTCAAGTGAAGAAGCTTGATTACAAAGTCTGTTGAGTATATGAGAGAAAGAATGAAATATTGCTCTTGCCACAATCATGATTTTTATTCTTCTCTGCCATTATCTAAAAGAAATATGGCATGATTTTTGTTCCAGTCATTGCAAACATTTCTCAGACTGGTGCAAGCGAAGCTGTATAGAATGAGACCAGAACTTTTTCTTTTTCTTTTGTGTGTGCGTGTGTGCACGTGTCTATGAAATGTGTGATTTCTAGAAATCATCACCTGCATAAAGTTAAACTTAAGGGCAAGTCTTTGCACATTTCAGGATTGGGGATGTTCATCACTTGTCATGCAAAAGAAAGTTTTCAAGGCCCTGCAGAAACCGTCCTCTGGAGTTTCTGTTATCTCACAAGGCATCCCAGAACAGTTTTGCAAAGCTGTGTAACTGTCTCAGCCCCTCTCATGAGGATGGATAAAGCTGAGGAAAGAGCTGCAACCTGGCAGCTTGCAGAGAAAGAAGAGCAAAGATCCTTCCTGCCTCATGGTATTGAGATCGCATCAATGCCAGGAGCTACGCTTGAGAATAAGTGGAAGAATAACAGATCCCTGCATGTTGCCATGGAGCTCTTCTCTCTGGGCTTCAGGCATGCTGTAAAATATGATCCTTCTATTTGTCCCTGTTTTAGGCAGTCCTAGTTAGTCTTGACAGCATTTCTGTGCTCAGCAATCAACATTATCCCCATAAAACAACTAAGTTAGTGGCAGCAGAGCCATCTCTAAGGCTTACATCCCATGACTCCTTGCTTGCACACTGATTTCCAGACTACCATGCTTTGCTGTCTTCCCCCTCCCCGATCCTCCTCAGAACTTCTCCACCACCTGAACACACAAAGAAAACCTCTTTTTTTAAAAAATGAAATAAAATAAAATAAAAATTGTCTTGGAGATAGATGAGATTTTTTTTTTTTTTTTAATAATTTGTTGATTTGCCAATTTTACTTTACCAGGTTTTCCTCTCATGGTGTCTGTAACTTGACATTATGAACCTTCTTATTAAATCAAGTGCTTCCTAAACGTTAGGTGGTAGAGTGGAGGAAGAGCCAAACATGTTTCCAAGGACAGCTAATACTGATAAGGTGTTGGCTGTCCTGTTATTGTTAGAATGTGCATTCTCTCCCTTGAGTATAGAGCACCTGATGGAGCGCTTCTTATATTGAAAAATGACAAGCATTAAGAACCCCATGCCACTTCATTGCTAAAATATTTACTAGAGCATGCTTGCTTCCTCCCTCTGAAAGTACAGTGTATTTATAGGAGCATCCTCTAATGGAGCGTCATGCTCTGAGCAGTATTTTTGAAGAATAAAGCAATACTATGTGTGAAGGGGTGGGGCAAGGCTCTTCTGTTGTCCCATCCTGTTAGCAGGTGTTGGGAGCCTGCAGGGAGCTGCAGGAGTTGATTGACTGGAGCAGATTTGCTGTGGTATGTGAAGTGTGTTAAGACCCTGCAGGGGATGGGAAAGGCTCACTGGGCTGTGGAATTTGGGGTCTGGGGTCTCTGCAGGAAAATGCCAGTAGGGAGTGACTTTGGGTGAAAGGGAACATTTAAGTATTTTTTTGTTATCATTAAAATGCCAAATCTTGGGAATCCATTGTCATGTGAATACTATAGATCAGGTCCTCAAATGATGTGCAATGTCAGGTTCATAGTATGCTCTCCGTAGCAGCTGGGAATCTGAGGCTGCTAGATATGGGAAGATTTCTTGCCTGCTTCATGGCTGTGAGTGTTAGAAATGAGGTCCCTTAGCTCCTGTCCAGAAAGCAAGAACAATGGAAGATGGAGGTCACAGAAATGACAAGAGCAACTCCTGTAATCCAGTATTGTCAGCACAAAGGCAGCAATTGATTGAAAAATGTCTGCTAACCAGACAGCAAGCACAATTAGAACTGAAATAGCAAGAGGGTCTATTTCAGAGTTTTATGGTACCAGCTTGCATCACCCCACAGATTTTAAGTCCTGATGGTTTTTTGTGTCTGGATCAGAGTCACATGGGGACCAAGAGCAATCCTGGACTGAAGGAAACTGTGTATCCAGTGCAGGACTTCTCAGAACTTCAGCTGTTAAAAGATACCATCATAAACGCACCCTAAAATTGAAAGACAATCCTCTGACCTACCCTGGGGATGAACAAGGACCACCACAGACTGTGACTGAGGACTGTTTAAGCTTTATTGGAGATCATGAGGTTTGTTGGAGTCACATACATCAGAAATACATGACAGAGTTGGCTCAACTGAAATGGTGTATCAGGGCTCAAGTTAGACAACGTTTTGGATACAGGAGAACCTGTTAAGGTCTACCAGTTGTGTGGGGACTCTGGGACAGCTTGCTAATGTTGAAGGTCAGATGCTTGACCTCTGCCTGGGGAAATGAAAGCCTTTTATACAGTCAAGCATGTTTTCTTGCTCTCCTGATCTCCAAGGAATATCACATGTGAGAAGCATGATAGAAATTAGTAGACTTGGTGGTCTGGTAGAGCAATAGCACTTAGGAACTTGGACTGCAAATCAGGGTGAGCAGGCACAGGGTACCTGCTAGGAGATCCAAATAATGTACCATATGGGAACAGTGGGCAGGAGATGTTGGCAGACAGGGGTAAAAGTGGCTTATCAACACACTGGTTCTGAATAGGAGGGGGTGGTGTCTAGAGAAGTGAGCTCTTTGCAGATAGACTTGTGTTCTGTGTATGTGCTAACACTGACTGTTTGAGGAACAGCTAACAGACCCTAGGAATGGGTCAATTCAATGTGTGAAGTTCCATGGCTTGGAGTGTCATTGATCACACTGCACAGCAGTTTCTTCATCTTTCACTTGGATGCAGTCTGAGTCAAAACTTTCAACAAACTGTTCAGTAAGGGGCACTCTGATCTTATTAGCAGTGCAGTAATAGCAGTGAAGTGCAGGGTTGAACAGTCAGTTACTTGAAAGGTTGCTTTATCAAATAAGAATGTATAAGTTTTCTTGTATCATTGATGAGTCTGGCATGATTGCTACAAGAATCACAGTGTTAACTCTGGATATATTCCAAGTTGAGTAAACAATAATTTTCAACCAACCACGTTGGGGGTTGTATTTACAGAATGCTTGCCTACATAGTGCTGAGTCCAACATAAAAAAATGGTATGTGTGCCCATGACATTGACAATCTCAGTTGACTTTATAGAGGAATACAGACACATAGTGCCCCAGATAATGGGAAGATGAACAGAACTACCTCTTTATGTTCTTCTATTATCCCCTCATTCCCACTCAGAACTACTTTTTCTCTGTTAAAAGGTTAAACTATGCACCATTTGTCCTGTTGTGAATGGCTGCTGTGTTTTAAGAAAGGATCTGAAATCTTCTACTGATTCAGTTGAATGTGACATTCTTTTGAAAATCAGTCCAAGTTCACTCCAAGGGTGTCTGCCTCTCATAGTCAGGTGAAGGTAAGTGTGCTATTTCACTTGCACAAGGGTGGCAGAAAGTAGACATAGATTTGAGCACTGCTAACTCGTTAAGTAGTCCTGCACCTTGCCACATGAGAAGCCGTATTCAACTTCAAGGTATGCTTGTGAATCAAGTCATTGCTTACTGTGAGCAGAGGTTACTGCATCCATCATATTGTTGAGTGTTTTGGTGCTGAAGGCTCAATATAAAATGCAAACAATTATCACTAATATGCTGTTGTTGTTACAGACATCTTTTCATGGCAACAGCAGTTATTTCTAACTAGTTAACATGTTTGGGAGGTCCCTGAAGGTGTAAATGCAGTACTGTTGTAACTGAACTCTATATATCTACTTGAAACTAACCAACCCAACTTAAATTTTTCATCCAGGTATCATTACTACAGTGGAACAGAGTTGTGGTAAAAGCAGTTCAGGCTTCAGAAAAGGTCACATAAAATGTTCTTCAATGCTGCATGATAGGTAGACAATACCATCTTACAATACCCAGTTCTCGAGTGGGTACTTTAGGAGCTTGCATTGCCTGGCTTATTCTACATCATGAAAAAAGGAGATCCAGTCATTTTACTCTGGAAAGCATTTTTCCCGTCTCTTTGGCTGTCATATGTATTTAACTGTAGTGCCCTCAAGGACAATGTGGTGGATCAGCATGCTAAGGGCTACAGTCTACAGCCTGTAGTTTTTCATTTCATGTTGCTTAAGAATGGTCCTCTTTGTTTCCATTTTGAGCCACGGCTGAATTCTTACATGTTGTCTGATCTTCAGGCTCAAATACCCAAGAGAATAGGCAGCTGTGAATCAACCCTCTGTGTGCTTTCTAGCAGGTAGTCTAGCAAAGAAGGCAGTATGCTTCTTATTTCTTTAAATTGACAGGGATTTGAAGGAAAAGACTTTAATAAAAGTCTCATGAATGATTTTTTTCTTCCTGCTGATGATTCTGAACTGCATGCACAAATATAAGAACCTTTTAAGAGAGCCTTATGGGTTTAAACCCAGTCCTTTAGATATATAATTAAAGCTCATTGTCTTTATGCTATCCTACACCTTATGAGAAGGATCACTTTTCTAATTACATGGTACCAGGAGGTCTGTCACATGCTTTCACTTAGTATTAAGGTACACAGTTACTCTATTTTTTCCTCTCCTTCTCCTTCTTCCATAGATTATATTATGTTTTGGAAATTTGACTTTTTTTTTTTTTTTTCAGGCCAGATGTTTCACCCTGCTATGTTAAGTCATCTTGACATACTGCCATGAAATGGAAACAACTGCTAGTTTTAATATTGCTCCATATCTTTATTAAAAGGTACGTCTCATGCATCTTAATTCCCCATATACATGCTATCTTCTTCTCTCCTCCCTTTCCCCCATTATACTTCTTTCTTTTCCTCCCTAAAGAAGGAGACATATTAAAATTTCCTTGCTGTTCAGCCTGAGTGGTTAATGAGGTTCTAGATAACATAATGAATATGCAGTGCTATTGATTCTGTGTGTGTGTGTGTGTGCGCGCGCGCGTGTGCGTTTGTGTGTGCATGTCTTTAATCACAGCTGGAATGCAAAATCAGGCTCCACCTTTCAACTCTATCTCCATCATGCTGAGAGAGTGAGAGAGAGCGAGACTGAGACTGCTAGACAGCTCGAAAGAGATTGCAGCTCAGATGTCCTGGAAAACAGCAAATCCCTCAGACCTGGCAGATTCCGTTACCATGAGAACTGCAGATATTTCCATTGTGATGGCTTGCTCTAGCAGCCATCTGTTACACCCATTTGATTAGGAAGTACAGTTCAGCTTGTATGGGATTTTCACTGCACCTTATCCCATGGCAGTGTACAGAAACTCTCTTTTTATATGCTAAACTCAATGTTTTTAAAGTGCTGTAATTTACAGAGGCTGAAGGCATTTAATGAAATGCCAGGAGGAGGTCACTGAGGGACAGTATCTCTGAGAAGAAAGAAACACATGAGATATATGAAGGGGATTAGTGTCCAGTATATAAATAAGATCAACCCAGAAATTAACGGTATTTAGCAATTCCTCATCCTTGCCAGGGAGAGGAGCTTGATATACAGACCTCATGAAGCCATAATAAAATTAGTGAAAGCCCCTGTTAGTTAATCCCACTCCATATATATTTATTGTATGCATGCAATAAATGCATACAGCAAATACATTTCAGGTCCTCTGGAAAAAGGGGGGAAGCTGATGGCTCTCCTCAGATGCCTGAAGTGGTGCAGTGACTGCCCTGTATAACAATTAGATTAGCTCTAAAAATTTAATGGTATTATTTGACTTTTCCTAGACACAGAACAACCTTAAACTTTCTTGAAGGTTTTCTCTAATTTACTGATTAAAACAATTGTTTGGATTAGTTGAGTCCCTCAGTGTAAATTTGTGGTGAAGGAAACGGTAATGGCACATCAAATGGATATAAAAACAAAGGAGTCCCCTTCAATTAAAACTCTCCAGACATTCTTCCTAAGTAGCTGGCATTCCAGATTCAGGGTAATCTTATGTGTGGGGTAGTTGCCTGGAGTATCTTAAAATGACTGAAGGTCTTGTAAACTCAGTGAAGCTAATTAAATGCTCACAGACTGAAATGAATTTCTGATTGCTGCTAAGGAGGCATTGAGGTCAGCTCCTCTTTTCATTGCCCACACTTTATGGCCAATGCCAGATACTAAATAAATCAGATCCTCAGAATCAGGGGCTCGGTGGTTTTGTTCCTCTTATATATTCTCCCACCCGGCTGAACATAATTCCTTATCCGTCTTCATCTCGGCATGAAAAGTTTTCTCTTCTATTGTTTTTCCTCACATAGCACCAGATTACCATGGAGAAGACTATGATATCATAAGAAATGAATGAGCATGTTTCTCACCATGGGTGAAATATACATTCCAGACCTAATAAAGTCAGAAATCATGTAATGGGCCTGGTAAGATGAGCTGCTTAGTTAGTGTAAATATAAATGTTTCTTCTTTAGGGCTCTGCTTCAGCTAAGTAAGTTCTTAGGCACTTTCCTGAGTATGGAGAGGCATAAGAACATATTTAAGAGCTTTTCTGAATAGGGATAGTTCTTGAAGTGCTTTGCTGAATCAGGGCCCCTAAATGTAAAAAAGAAAGCCAAATTTCCCTTCTCTCTTATAATAAAAGATTTTCTTGTTGATCACATTTACAGCAAATTAGAACTTTCACTTTCTTCAGCTTTCCATCTTGCATAATCCTGGAGGCTGATCTACAGAGAAGAGAGTCTTTTCTTTTTTTTTTTTTTTTTCTCTCTCTCTTTTTTTCAGACAGGGCACTTGTTTTATGAATGTGGTATCTGCCTTTGACAGGCAGCAGATGTATGGAAGCCCTGAAATCTGAAACAATAAATACCATTCAGAGTCTCACCACTGAACCTTCTTATAGTACTGCCTTTGTTAAATGAAACATTTACAGGAATACCATCCCCCCACTTCCCACCCACCTTCAAGGCTAGGATCTGAACCATGTTTTTAAAGTAAAGGTTAAGTACCTGAGGCATGAACAGTTGACATACAAAAGAAACTAAAGTAAATTTATCATTCGTTTGCCAGCTACGAGGTGTGTCGAGGGCTTTTTCTTTCTCTTTGTAATGCATGAGAAAACAAACCTGGGAAGTGTATGCAAGGAATATTTCCTTTCTACACGGGAATGTTAACATTTGCACCTTCTGACTTAATACTGTATATTTCTTCAGAGTCATCAATCTCATGAGATTCATCTTGCCATCTGTACCAGCATTGCTCCAGGCTTCCATATGAAAGTCCAATCTGGCAGTATAAATACTGGATAATGAAGAGTAGGTGTTAAAGTTTCTGACTGGTTGGAAGATGCGTCTGTGTCTATGAAGGATCTGAATTTGTGTGTTAAACAAACAAACAGAATCTATGTTAACATGGAAGTTCAACCAGAAAGAGCTTGCATGTTTGTCCTCATGCCCTCTCTCACTCTGTGTTGTTTCTCAATTTTTCCTTTATCTTTCTCTACTTAATAGAGTTCACCCAAGATCCGGGAGAAAAATGTTCTCTGACCATCATGTTACACTTTGGAGATTACAAATAGGGGCAAGATGTTGACTTGCTGTAATGTAGGGTTCTTTTTTTCCTCTCTCTCATTTTGCTTCAGGAAAGCTATAACTACATAGATTAGCAAAACTTTTGCAAGAATGGATGTAAAACAGATTTATCTCAGTGTCAGCTTTATCTGATCCATTTGGTCTTGCAGAGTTTGGATGGTTTCCTTTGTTACAATAACCAGCTTTCAAACATCTATATCCTTAGGGTATTAAATGTCAGCCTCTAGTGTACCGTTCAAGGATAAAAGATTGACAATACTGAAGTACTTTTTTTCTTCTTTTTTTTTTTTCCTTCTCCAGCACTGGCAGAGTCTTTACTCTGCACACCACTGCTGACCCCAGAAATGACCCACAGGAACTACTGGCGAAAGGAGTGAAAAGGTATTTCAGCGTATAGGCATTAGAAACTCTCTTCATTAATAGCCTTTTCACAGACTTTTCAGATAGATTTCCTGTCATTGTGATGAGGATATGTTTGTAACGAGGTCCCTTAAGTAAATGGCCAGTGGATAATTAATTGAACTAACTAGGACTTTCCGTACTGTATTTCCTTTTTTTTTTTTAGGAAGGAAAATAGTCTTCCTGATGGTCCTCTGTGCTCGATGTACAGCCCTTTGCTACCTGTTGGCCAAGTCTTTCGGCCCTCATTCAAATAAAACTCTTAGGCACTCTGTTGAGGGAGGTACATTTTTTGTTTTGCTTGGCATCAGAACTGAAGAAAATGCACTCAGAAGATCAGGGACCAGCCATAAACCTCTTTAAATGGAGCCAGCAGAACTGGTGTGCTCCAGATAGGGCTAAAAATGTAGGAGATCTGAAGTGTGCCACTTGTTTTTCCTTCTCTTGCTGACTGAGCAGCTGGGACTGTATTGTTCCCCTTCCCTGTGCAAGTAGGTAGCTACCCTGAGCTTCTCTCTCCACAGCTTAGGAAGATGCAATGTCCTCTTCTATCCAAAGCTGCCAAATCCACCAAATATCAAGTTCACCACATTGCTAATGTGTTGCTAAGCCTGATTGTGCTGAAAGAAGCAGCTCAGAACAGAACATTTGGGCCATATCATGCTTGCACTGTTGACAGTGAGTAAGCTAGTTAGAGAAAAATTTGGCGTATTTATATCCTGATGTGTATTGTACTGTGTCTAATACTGATATGCACACTATTGATAATATGACCATAATTCTGGTTGTAATACAGTTCACTTTGGCACTCCCACTGTGCATATTCTAGTCTCCCAAATAAGTCACACCAGTGGCAATATACAGTGAGGCTGAATTAGGCTTATTATTTCACTTTTAGATTACCCTCTTAGCAGACTGGCCTCCAGCCCCTTTAATTAAAAGCTTGTAAACATGCAGGCCATAAATAATTTCTGACCTTCACATCTGGTTTTGAGCCAGCTATAGTTGATGTTTTTGAGCAAAATCTTTTTCCCGCTCTCAAGGGTCTTCACTTTTTCAGTTTTGGAAATGCAATCATGACTTACTGACTTCACAGTCATTGGGATATTTCTCAAAATTTAAGGAAAGTTTCTTGATGAACCTGTACAATTTTTCTTTGAACACCGAAGAGATTAAATTTTTACTCCAGTTGTCAAAGAATATTGTTAATTACTTTTATTAACCAACTTGCAAATAACTTAACAAAATTATGAATAAAAGTTTTATTTGAACACTATGAATTCATATGTGAAAAAAAAATGCTTTTAAGGATAGCTATGACTGTTGGCTAAGAAGCCATCATTTTCTTAGCAGAACAGCTTCCATTAAGGAGGTAAAGAAAGGATATTGTGCTGGCCGAATGCTTCTGAGATTTTGCTCTGACAATTTTTGCATGTATATTTAAATTTATTTGTCTCTGTATGGAGTTGAGTGTGTCCACACATCAGCTGCTTTGAAGAATAAATGTGCTTTACTGCTTCTTTCATTATTTTCTGTCAGATAGCATATGCCAAAACAAAGGTCTCATTTAAGTCAGCTTGGTCAAGTATATATTTTTTTTGTCCTTGCAGTGATGGACATAAAGCATGAACAACTTGATCCTTGCCTCACTTATGCCATTGTAAATCAGGATGAGCTTTGCAGAAATCAGTGGAATTAGCCCACTATTTAAAACAAATTTAGGAGAACCAGGTATTTCAGTGCTGTGTCAGCACTTCCTTTTGTTTGGCACTTACAGTCTGCTCTGGACCAAGCCAATGAAATAAAAAAAATCCATTAAAAAAATGTCATGTAGGTCTCTAAATAGTTGCCTCTGAATTTCAACTGTGGGAAGTTATGATTCTCTGTAATTACTGCTCTAGTCAAGATCTTTATACACCAAGTGTCCTTACTCGCACGGCAGCAGAACAATGTACAGCACACCTCCTTGCTTCCCATCCATACCTGCTGAAGACATGGTTGCCCTGATATTTTGCACTCTGTTGAACCTGTAGGTGCAGCTGGTGCAGCCCAAGAGTCCTGAGTACCATAACTGTATACAAATTCCTGATTCGCCAGTGACTATTATTTTAAACATTTCCTCCAAGGCAAATGTGAAAGGGGCTTTAGTATGTAATGTGTGTTTAAGCCCATCTCTCCCTTTAAGTGTTGAGATCAGTTATTTATGGGAAGCAGACATCTAGGCAATCTTACCCTTTTCTTCTGTGCACTGAAGGCAGTGAAGGTTGCAATATTAATTGCTGCATCAGCCACTTTAAGATTTAATGTTTTTCCCCATACTATAGTCAATGTATCTCTTGCATGATTTCCCACATAGTCTTCACTTTCACAGTCGTCTGAATGATAAGCAACAATAATGTCTCTGGAAGTGATCCATAAATCATACTCAAATCCACGCATCCAAATGATCCTATTTTTAATCTCTAAACTACTTTAGTGTGTGCTTGCTAGTGCACTTCCATTGGAAGCATTATGTTCCCCACCTACATATTTCCTTCAGTTCTGTGTTAATGCACCCAAAAATAAATAAATAAACTCAACCTGGAGCTTGAATAATAACATACAGTAAAACTATGGGAAATTAAGACCTCCCCAAATACAATAAAGTATCAAATAACACAATGGTACAAATAACACACTGTTTTATCAGGATCTATAGAGGGATTATGAATGGTCTTGGGTTTAGGTCACTGCATTAGAGTGAAAAGTACCTGAATTGGTTTTGTTGCTTTCCCACAGATTCTCTGAATGACCTTGGACATATCCACAGCTAAAATATGCCTATGATCATACACTTCAGATATAAATATGTATTAATTATCAGTGTGAACATGCCACCTCCTCTTCTCAATTTCACTTTTTATTCAAAACTGGAAAGAGTAGACAAATCCAAAAGCTCTAAACAAAGTTTACAAAACTGTGGGCAATGTTTAGATACAATCCAGGGTTTAGCAGCATGTAGGAACCAATCAAGACTGGCCAGAGAGAGCGGGTGTATCTAGTCTGACATCTTGCCACTGGTTTCTTGTGCTGCAGGAAGATTTAGTGAGTTCTGAAGTAGGTAAGTAAGGGATGACCTGTTTCTAAGGAAAGGTTTTTTTAGCATCCTCAGACTAGTTTTCAGGTGGGGAGGGACGTGATTTTGAGTTGCATAATTTTTTAGGTTACTGTAATCCTCCTTTGCCATTGAGGTCAATGACAGTGACTGGTGACTTCAGAAAAAGGAGTGGTGAGCCTTTTCTCATCAAGGAATTGGAATCTCATTGATGAAGAAATTTGTATTGTAATTTCTTAGGGATGCCTGATTGGACTGATGGTCAAGTAATATTGTTCTTCTGCAGGGTTACATTTGAGGTCACTTTTCAACAAAAGTGGCAAGTTCAGTGTGATGTCTGGTGTCTGAGTTGTGTCTGGGAACTCTTGCAGACAAGAAGTTGCAGCTTTGGCTGTCATTCAGAGTCTAAAGTAGTTTCCACCTTGCCAGTTTGGAAATGAGTTCGTGTGATCTGGTTTCATTCGGTTTGGCTGGATTATAGGTCCATTGACTAATGATTTTTTTTGGGAAATTAATAGCCCCCATCCCTTTTAAGCAGGAGGAAAGAATATGGTGCATTCATGTAAACTGTGGAAAATTACTCCCTCTCAGACTGTGGACATGAAAAAAGTGAGTTTTGGATGCATGTAGCTATAAAAAGGGAAAGGCTTTTAACCAGGGAGAACTGAGACTTCTGCAAAAGCTGTGTCCTCTTTGGGCAGCCCTGTCAATGCAAGGTTTCAAGGGGAAAGAGCAGCAACATTAACATCATGCTTCCCCACAACACAGCTCCTTGAATAACAAGCCAGTGACTCTTGCTGAGTCCCCATTTTGTTCTCACTTTGTTGCTGTTTCACTGCATGAATTTCTATCTCTTACCCATAGTGCTGTGTGGTAGGGAAGAAAGGACAGTGTTCCCCATCCACATCCGTTTGCTGGCTGCTCACACAGGGTATTTTAGTAGGCAGATTTGGCCTGTACTTGTTTTGTATCACAGGGTATAAATAATTCCAAGACACGGTGTGCTTTTTTTCCTGATACATCATTTGTTGTTGTGGTGCTTATGAAGGTATGCCTGGGACAAATTCTTTTGCTTCGCTGTGGCTACAGCTGAAACGTCCTTCCCTTCATTAGCTACCCTCAGCCAGTCCATTGGGATCTTCTGAAGATGAAATCAGAAGTGGTGCCAAGCTTCACAAAGCTGATGGCTGGCGTCCCTCTACAGGAATGGTTGTGTCCCTCATGGAGTTTTTTAGGGATCTCTTGCCCCCTTCTTGCCTGTTATTCCTACCATGCATCTCTAAATCCACAAGCTCAGACTTCTGCCTGGACATTTCATTGCAGCTGGATAACAAAGGAGAAGGGAGAAAATGTGTCTTTCATTATCCTTGCCCACATGTGGGTTAAAGCAGACTGTCCATGCCTTGCCTTCATTTTGGGTGTTGCCTGCAGCTGTAGTGGATGACGGGAAATAGGTAGCTCTGATTCTACCACTTCTACATATGCCCATCACATGGACCGAAGTAGCAGGTGCACATCCTCTCCGCTGCCAGGGCACCTCATTATGCAGATATCCCCCGAGGTACACAGCCTCCACAGTGCTACCCAGCCTGGAGTGCTGCCTAATAACCTTGATCCTGACCAGAATGCTAATGGGCCTGTGACTTCAAAATGTTCTGTGTCTACTGCATATGTTTTTCTAGAGGTGATTTCTGTGGTTACTGGAGAGATTTTTTTTCTCCCAGTGGCTGGAGGGAGTCATGAGAGTCTTTTTAGGTATAAATGGGGTTCTCAGAACATCTGACTTGGGGTGTTTTCAACTAATTCATAGCTCTGGATGGTAAGGAAGTGTATGATATCTGAAAGGATGTTGGTATTAGACTATATATCAGGCTTCTGTACAGTCTCAGCACCAGTACTGGACTTTCAGGCACGCACATTATGACAGTTCTGAGCCTCCATGTTTGATATGTGTCTGAACTAAATATGCAAACCAAACTGAAATATTTAGTAAAATCTCAGTGTAGGAGTTTAAACTTTGCATCCACCCTAGTGGGGAGATGGGAGCTATTATCTTCGAAAAAGTTCTGACTTCATTGTCAGAATCAGTGTTGATGGTATTGTTTAATTGTTTATTCTTCTGAAAGCAAATCAATATGAAAATTTTTTTAAGGTTAGAAGCTATTTTAGTAATGTAAGTGGTTGATTAACATTAGGGGTTAAAAAGGGAAAATGGTCCTTGACCAGGTAGTGCCTACATTGCTTGACAATATATAAATTATTTATTGTGGCTTTTGATATGGGTTGCATCCAACAGTAGCTGAAGTGGCGGTTCTCAGTGGAACTCACATTAGACTTGCACCCTTCTCTAGCTATCTTTTATAACCAAATTCAGCTTCTGTGGAATTGCAGCAGGTGAGTGATCAGATTTCAATGCAAATAAGACTTCATTTAACAGCAAGCATAAGCGAGTGTGGACTCAAACCTGATGCAATTTGGTGGATGTCTATACATTGGAAATAGATGTCTGAGTAAGAATAAAAAGTTTTGGTTGAGCACACTGTAGAAGAAATGACAATTGGGTTCAAAGTCCCGATGGAGACTCCGGTCTCTCTAAAACATGGCTTTTTACAGGCCTAAGAACAGCTCAACACTGGTAAGGGCACTGATGTGAGTTTTCTGTGTATGTGCACAGAGAAATGTTTCAGTGTTTCTCATCCTGTGGGGATGCAGACAAAATCTCTCTTTGGCTGTTTGCTTTTGATGCAGCATTGGCAGCTCCTCTTTTCATCAGCCAACATTGTAAAGACATGTGAGAATCCCCATGGAAATGACAGGTATCCTACACAGAGCTTCTGTTCTGCAAGTGAATCTGCTATAGTTCCCTTCCATAATGTTTATGGGTGGCAACATTTTCCTTCATCCTCACTTCTTTACGGTAAATAAAAGCAACACTAACTATTGCAGAAAAACATGCTCACCTCTAAATTATATATTTTTTTCAGGTTAAAAGTATGTAATTTCAGAAGTAACACTCTGGGACTCACCCTGCTGTGAAACCATTGCTCTATTTCTCTCAGCAGTGATAAGGTGTCTACAATTCTCAAACTGCTGAATAGCCCATGTGAAAGTCAGGGCACTGGTATTGCAGAAGACAGCTGACGCTGGGATATTGGCACACGGCTCAGAATGCTGCAACAGTGTGAGATTTTGCTCCAGGGTTCCCATTGCTTGCGCAGTTCATGTATGTCAGGCTTCTGGTTAATCATAGCTCACTGTACAGTGAATGCATCCTATTGACTTGACCAGTTCCAAGCAGTTAATTTAAAAGAGACAACAGTGTCTGTCTTTTGACATCTTTCCCACCCTAAAATAACAAACCAAATGCCAGTGGTCTGAACCCAACTTCTACTGTAAGTGTTAGGCAAGAAAACAGGGGAGAAAGTGAATGAGAAGACTGTTTTAGAGTTGAGGACCTGTTTAACAATAATGAAAAATATGCTTTCACGAGCAAAAAATAGTGAAGAAGAACTGGAAAGATGTTCAGGATAACTTTTGAGAATATACAGTGAAGATAAATGCAGTCTAACAAATTCAAAAGCTGACTTGTGTTTGGAGTTGAAGGTTTGAAAAGCAAACACCAATTTTGTTGAAGATTTATAAGCAGGACATGCTGCCAGTCAAAAGCAGAACAGTTGGAAGGAGAAAGATTTTATTAAGTCAAAGTGAGAGGCTCCAGCTCTGTTAGTTGCCCTGCAAAAAGTAAGGGAGGCAGAGAGAAAGGAAGAAATTGGTTAAATAGTTCATCTGGTTCTAGTGGTTTTTTTTGTTTTTTTGTTTTTTTTTTTTTTTTTTTTTTTTTTTTCCTTCCAGGAAAGTTATTAGAAATTTGAAGGAAAGTCACAAATTGCCAGGAAACAGACAGGCTGGTGGAAGGATTATGCAAACAACATCATAAAACAGACTGTTTCCAGAAGACAGTTCCATGTATTAATTACAGGTGTGCAGCTGAGCTAATGCAAAGCTATGAGTGGGAATGAACAATGCAAAAGAATATTTTTATTGCCCCCCCAGTCCCTTCCCCCAGCTCCATCACAACTTTGTCTGAAGTATACAGTGCTGACTTTAACAGTCTTCCTCTACTCTGGCTCCAGTTGCTACCTCCACCCCCACCCTGGCTCAGCCACCTTGTTATTAATCATGTTTGCCTGAGTGCTTGGAGATACCCAAGCAAGTCTAGGCTTCAGCAGTTTGAAATCTAAGAGCTCTTCTTATTTTGGAGCAATACCAGCTGCTCTTCTCTGAGCACCAGTCCAGATGGAGATCATCCAACTCATCCAGAAGGAAGCCTTTGCAAGCACGGTGCTGGCCTTTTACAATGATGGACATCTTTCTGCTGAGGAGAGAGTGATTACATGAAAGGTGGGCCAGACTGATAAAGTTACCCATGAAAACCTGATTTTTAAAAACAGACTGAAGTTTGAACATCATCCTTTGAATAGACCTGGCTATTAATGTTCATTAATGTTTTTTTCTTGGTGAGAAAATGTGCATGTGTGCAAGAACATGTATGTGTGTGGGGGGTGTGTGTGTGAGGGGGGTATGTGTGAGGGTGTGTGTGTGGGTGTAGTCTGGCTTGTTTTTTTTTTTTTTTCCTTGAGATAAATTCTATAAGATGAGGAGGAACAAGGGAATTCTTACCACTTATTTTGAAATTTTCCATGAAAAATGCCATTTTTTGCTCACTATCTCTGACATATATCTACGGACACAGTCAAGCTTCCCACTCACCTGAGAATACTGTGGCATTGTCATGTTCTTCCTTCCCTTGTCCCTTCCTTTCCTCCATCTTTCATCTATGTTTACTAAGTTAGGTTCCCTTACCTTTTACTCATACATCATACCTTCCAACCCGCTTATCTTTATCACTGTTCATTGTATTCACTCTATTTTATTGCCGTCCTCTTTATATTGAGTTGCCCAAAACTGATCACAGCTTTCCAAGAGGGGCCTCGCCAGGGCTGTGTATGGAGGAATTATTACCTCTCTAGTCTTGCAAGTAATTCTGCTCCACATCCCAGTATGGTATTTGCCTCTTTGTGCTACAGTCTCTCACCGTGAGCTCATATTTAATCTGTCATCCACTATCACTCCCTAAATATGTCCTGCAGCACTTCCCCTTTAGTAATAAAAACACAGAAAAATGTTTGAAGAAAAAGTAAGTTATCCCCTTGGGTGGCTCTTTGAGAAAACCAGGGTTTTCATACAGCTGCAAAGACACTGAAAACACAGCCTCATGCTCTGCTTCCACATATCTGGATTTTGCAGCTCTAATGCCAAGAGTAAAAACAGATATGTCATTTCCTATGTACATATTTTCTTAATGTTTGCTGGTTGCAGTCCTGGACTACCCAGAGCATTGATACAGTATAGGAATGCCATATCTACTTTTGGAGTTCCTACCTACTAGATTAAGATCTCAGAAATCCTGCTGTACTTGAAGTTGCTTGGAGGTATGTGCTGTGAATGTTGCTCCAGCTATTTGATATTTTATGGAAATTGAGTGAATGCTACTGTATATGGGCAAAACTAGGACATGCCTTGAGTCACAGCTTACCACCTCTAGATTTGGAGAGTTCGCCACTCTCCAGACTAAATTCCTTTCAAGCACTTTTTAGAGTGAGTATTTTCTCAGAACTGCCAGTCTTTCTTTTCTACTGCTGAAATTCTTTAGAACTTTGTTGATATTTGAAGCTGAAAAGCCTGCACAGTGTTTAATCTTCTCCTTATTTTTGGCTAAAGAGTTGTCCTTCCAGAATAAAAATAATTTCCTTTTTAGTCCATCTGATTATTCAACCTAATTAATCACTGCGAAAAACACCAGTGAGGATTTGTAAACATTATGTAGAGAAGTATGATGAGCGCATATTTACCTTCTGTGGGCTACAGGAATTACAGTATGTCAAATCATAGTGCATTGCAAATGTAGGTAGTCTGTTAATTTAGTACTCAACCAAAAACTATTTCTTTATTGTGAATCAACCTAAGACTGTTAAACCCCAGCAATACAGATTTCCTCTTCTTCCCATGTTTCTATTATCTCCTTACCAGTTTCTCTTTTGTTCTCCCTGAAGGAAACCAAGCATCACAAACTGCAGATGAGCAGTTCTTGGAATTGCCTGAACAGCCAAGTGCAAGAACTGAATGATGCAGGAAGAAAGACCCTATAAATATTGCAGAGCAGCAGCATTTTTAAAGTACTCCCTCATTCCTGATTGCAGCATAAGAGCATACATTCATAAGGCATGCCACCCTGAAATTGATGGGAACCTTTCTGTGGACTGCATGGTTTGTGTACTAAGCCTCCAGATTCTTGAAGCAAACCCTCGCTGCTACAAAGAGCTCTTAAAATTACATTTAAATTGGAAATAGAAATCTCCTCAGCCCTGACATTGGAGCAGAGTTATTATTTCCCATGCCTGTCTTCTCTCACTCAGGAAGTCGCTGCAACATGAAACCTCTTCTGATTGTTCCTCCTCCAAATGCCTCAACTGCCTGAACTCCACTATTTCCTCATGAAAGGAGGAAAAATATGGGAATTTAGGCAAGCAGAACAGTCCTTATGCTCAGACTGAAAAAGCAAGGTCAAGAGGGGTCTAATTTTCCCAGCCACTGAAAGGTGTTTACCTTCTTCCTTCATCTTGGCACAGGAACCTGTTAAGTGCAATTCCCACTTCAGTAAACTGCTGCAGCATAATCAAGGACTACAGGGATCTCTCAGGTGTGCTTTAGGGCTCATGAGAAGTTATATTTCCAGCAGTTTAGTGTTGCAGGACTGGGTAGCAGTGAGACCACATCTATATACATCTGTGTACATCTCTGGACATACAGTTTGTTTTCAGACCAGAAACTTTAAATCTGCTCAGTTTAACAGGGTAAAAAATGAGAGAGGACATGACTGTTGAATTATAAGTGTACTAGAGTGAAGAGTAAGAATTGGGGGAGAAAATTTTTAGTAAAGAACAGAGCTGTGACAAGAAGAAATTGTTACATGCTCTCTATACAGAATTTTTTTTCTGTAAATTAGGTGAAGGTCCTTAACCACCTGAAAGACTTCCTTGATCCATCTCCCAACATGCAGAAGTGTTCAGGGGAAAGCTAAAATTGAGTTGTGTCCATTTGCAAAAGATATTAGGTGATATGATTGTGTGCAGTCACTCACAAGGGTTCCACGTGTGTCCCTTTGGGGATGCTTTGGGGTTGCTCATCTTGTGAACTGTGCTTTTGTGATCTGAACTGGGAAGTGAACTGAAGAAATGTGAATCAGAATGTATGGGTCAGCTGTGAACATTGTCCATCTGCATTAATTCACTGGCTGTGAATATAAGGCTGTTTAAAAGAATGGGCAATTTATCTCATAAGTATTTAATAAGGTGTCCAGAGAAAGGCAGTGTGATCACAGTTGCACACTGACTCATGGTTATATTACCTAAACAAGAACCTTGTTTGGGTTCTGCTTGGAAGGGGAAGGAGCGCTGGCATTTCTGTCTGACTCAAAATGGGAAATATACAATTGAGAGGTCCGCCTCAAAGGCAACAAGTGTGGACAATGTGGTTGCTTGGCTTCACTTCATGCTCTCAGGTTTACAGATTTCTTACATGAATCAAAACATCAGAATGGTCCCTAACTTTAAGACTTAGAAGGAGATTGGTGATGTGAAAAAATTACACTATTGTCAAGCAGGTACCAGAAGGAAATTTTGTGTGCTCTTTCCTGCTTGGGAAACTCATCACAAGTGTCTGGAAGAAACTTTTATTTTGGTCATGTATAGAGCAGTGCAAGTAATTTGGAGCAATATGGGGTTGCTTTGATTTGTCCTTCATCAGGTGGTATACCAGGAATCAAAAATAGAGCAGCTCTATTGTCTAGTGCTATACTGCAGGCATCCAGTGACATCTGCCAAATGTTACATTCCCTTGTGGAGGTCTGTGGCTCACCAGGAGACTGACCAGGGCATGAGGTGATACGTGCCTGTGCAGTGATCTTCCTTGCACTTCAAACACTGCTACTGTCTGGAACTGGACAATGTGAAAAGCTTGGTTCAGTCTCTGGCCACTTCTCTCACTGCCATTCCTTTTCTAGTTTGGAGACAGATTGGAGCATTTCCCTCTTTTGTTTATTTCACATGGGAAAAAATGGTTCATTTCCCTCTGCCCTAGCTGCTCTGAAAGGTTTTCTAGTTTCTCCAGAATATATTATGCAATGCTGCAGTGCAAGTCCTTTTTTCTTTTCAACTGCATGCCTTTACCACGTATCGTAATGTGTCTACTCTGATTAGGTTCATCCTATAGAATCACTGCCAAATTCTGTTTTACACAGCAGTGTTCAGTCTTCAGCCTGGGAGCTATGTGCAATCCTCTTAAGATGTTCATACATCAATATCAGTCCTGACTAATCCCAAGAAGCCTTGGATGGCAGGAAGAAGAAAAACTTGAGGGTAGCTGTGCAAGTTACAGGACAAGCACTGTGCTCTTTACTCTGGCCAAACTTCCACTGCCATCAACAAAAGTTGGGTTTGAGATGGGCTGCAAATTTGATTTTTGATATAGTTGTACAGGCCACAGTCTCACCAAGGACTGGGTAGTTCTTCTGTTAAAGAGCAACACTGCTGATTTCAGAAGGGATCAGTGGGACCCCACATATACACTGAATATGTTACTTCCGCAAAAGTAGATTTAACCCATCTAATGCTTTTTCATAAGAAAACCAAAACATTCCAATGTTTTCTCACATTTTCCTTAAATATAAGTGGATTCCAGATCAGCATGATTGCTGACCTCAGTGACAATAGTAACTCGTTATTCTTTAGTTAATGCTTATATTTCAGGGGTGTGTGGAATCCAGACAGGCTGGGGCAGTCCCATACACACACACCATTACAGAGATTCCTGAGCAGCCCTGAAAAAATTAAGAACACTAGGACCTTTATGAAAATGTATTTTATATTCTTATCAAGGCTTGGTTAAAATTTCAGGGTGGTGGAGAAATGGCAAACATTTTAACATGAGAAATGGCCATGATTTTGTGGTTGGGTACAACTGTGGGGCTCAGATGGCGGTGATGCCTTGCGATAAGAAAGGATGGGTAATCCTGCTGCTAAGGGCAGAGGGAATTAAGAAGCCACCATTAACATGGGAGCTGTGTTGGCTGAGGAGGCCACTTAGCAAATTCCTTACTTGAGCATTCAAGGGCACTCTCTCGCAACTTGATCCTCACTTTTCCAAGAGCAGGGAGGAGAAGAATGTTTCACTGTCCAGAAAGCACCCGGGCCTTGAGATAAATGAGGATTGAAACAAACGTTTCCATTCATATCAGGGGCCCCTCCTCACCAGCATCCTCACTGATCTGTAAAAACCTTCTTTGTAAGTGGTTTCTAAAGCATAATCTGTGCTTTTAATACCATTTAATTGAATAATTCCAATGCAAGGTTTGTTTTTTAAAGGTTTTGAGAAGTGTTGCAAGTAGCAAAAGTTTTTAATAGAAACCTGAAGCCACTGACTGAGGAAAATTTCCTCACGACTCTTCCTGTTGTGGAGAAAACTGGAGAAAAATCAAGTCCAAAGCACTGAGGGTCATGTGAATAGCTACAGAGTGGAATTCAGGGGGTTCGTTTCGGTAATTGCAGTGAAATTGCTCCCAGCAGAGGCAAGGAGCAGAAGAGAAATTTTAAAGGTCCAAGCAGGCAATAATAGTGCTCTACCTGCCTTCCTAAAGCACTGAAGGAGTCCTGAGCACAGAATTAGCTTACAGAACAGGGTTTTTCTTTTCAGAGCAGATTTATCCTTTTCTTTCACCACCCACAAGTCCACACCAGATACTGAGTGAGCTTTACAGGGAACTGGATTTGTTTTGACTAAAGCCCAGGAGAAAACCAACAGCCCTGAGATGGTTAAAGTGGAATAAAACTAAAGTATGTGTGTGTGAAGAGTTAAGTTGCAGACCAAGGTTATGTTGCAGCTACAAAGAATATGGAAAACAACATGTAGTCTTGAAAAATGAACTACTCCTTCACATATAGAACTTAGTATATCATCCTCAATCATAAATATAGACAGATTTGGATTGAAGCAATTATTGAATACATTGTTCTTAAAGGTAATCAGGAACATGACCACTAGAGATACCATGGATGGAAAGGACTAAACACTGCAGTTCATCATCTCAGCCCTTGAAATGGCTGAGATATGCAAAAAGTGCACGTTTTATTGAAGAAGTATAAATAGTACAAAGGGAGGAAAAAAAAAAAAAGCAAACAAGAAGAGGAATCAGGTGGCTTTGCAGACTGCTGTGTTTGAGGAACAATTTGACAGAGACAGAGCAAGATGATGATAACCTGAAAAAAGTATAATTTGTCATGATTACCTCTTTTTTTTTTCCTTCATCCCAAAGCAGTACAGTTTGCAGTTTGCACCCATTGCAATTTATACCTGGGTAAAAAGATGGCTTGGGTAAAAGATAGTTTACTTGGGAACATACTTGGATAAAAGATAGTTTAGTGAAGTAAAGTATAATTTAATCCCTTCACTTACCTGGGTCTTCACTAAGTATTTTAGATGTCTTGAAACATCAGTTAATGAAGCCCCTTGCAAAAGTCCATTAAATGCCTTGTGGGTGGGATTCATTTCTTGAGGGGCTCCAAATTGCAGGGAGGGAAGATTTCTGAGTGCAGTATGATTCAGATAATGCTATACTTCCTCATCCTGAGGCAAATGCCTTGTATATATGTTTATCTTGCACTTCAGTTAGTCAGCCCTGTCTGTAATTTTTCTACAGACAAAACCCATATATTCTATAAGTAATGTGAACAGCTGATTATGTTGCTTTCGGGTAACAATGCTTCCACTTTCCAGGCTATTCCATCCAAAGGTAAGGGCACTGATGTGGTTGTCAATATAAATAAAGATGCATCTGTGAAAGAGGTTGGTCAGAAAAAACAGGAAGTTTATAATCCTGGGATCCTGGGCAGTCTAACTATCAGCCAGATGATATAGCAATTGCCTGTTACTCTTCATGACTATACAAGGGGGACAGAAAGACTCCTCAAAGGATATGGGTGATTAAAACGAGCATTTTGTTTCCTCTTTGAATTTAGTTCTCCTCTTCTCAGTTTGGGAGAGCAGCAATATCTGGCTCTATCAGAGTAATACATTGGAGATGCCATGCCATACTCTTAAATCTTTGAGTCATGTTACATGGTTTAAAAGTTTTCAGGAGCCATAATACGCTGTTTAAAAGGTTGCAGCATATGGAACACACTGAAAACTCTCTGATCTGTAGAGCTACCTTTTCTGCTTGTCATTCCAAGCCCTTTCCCTTTTTCTTGCTCTCCATATTTTGTCTGTTCTGCTTCTGTACCTCTTCCACTAGCATGATTAGTTTTGGCACTAGCAGGCATCCAAATGCATGATAGACTTTTAAAATAAATACCTGAAGTGTCCTGTTTCCTCCTTCCTCCATGCCTACACAAAGCAGTGAGCCTCCCATGCCTAGCAGGCAGAACTCTGCAGCAACATGCGCTTTGCTTGAATACTGGGTCTTTCCTTGGGAGGTCTCTGTGGATGTCCTCAGTGAGGCTCCGTAGCACAGATGTGGGCTGATGAAGCATCTCCAAAGTGCTGGCTCAGAGTTGAACCAGTGCCTTCATCTGATTTAGAGCTGCCTGGAGGCTGCTGTGAAGCAGCTTTCTCTGTGCCTTTTTCCTTCCCACATATTTGTCTTGCACTCCAAGGCTCAGCTCCACAGAGGTATTTGAGCTCCTCAGTCCTTGATATCAGTGGGAGCTGTGTGCCTACACAGGAAATAGATAGCAAACATCTGTTACAGATCCAGGCCTGAGATTTTGAATCTCTCATTTACCATGTGTTGATGATGACAGGATTGAAAACGGACTACTGTGAAGAAATATTTTGGTGGCCTGAAATTGCTGAGATTTCACTCTGCTCTGGAGGCTTAAAAATGGTGCAGAGGAGGATCTTGTTATACTGAGTGAATTACAATGCTTCCAGTCCTCCCTGTTCAAGTCTGGCTGCCATCTAGCTGGACTGCAGTGAAGAGAGTGACTTTCCAAGCCTTACAGTTGTACACTGAGCTCCTCCAGTGTTTGAGGTCCTAAATCCTTCCCCATTGCACATCAAGAGCCCCCATTGTTAACAGCACATGCTCACCCTCCTTCTGGAAAGCCACTGATTTTGGGTAAAATGCTTTTTATTGTGTACATGTTCACATTATTTATTTCTTTTTGCTTATTGTCCATCTGTTTCTTTTCTTCTCCTTTGTTATATTTTCAGTTTCCTTATTTTCTTTTTTTTTTTCCTTTTTTTCTTCAAAAAAAAAGAAAGAAAGCAATGGACCTTTTCCCTCAGCAGCTTATGAATTAATTCTTGTGTCATCCAGTTAAACATCCCACTAAACAAAGCACTCTCAGGGAAGGGTTATCGACAGTAACCTGTCCATGTTAGCCCTCTGATTTCTGTTTGAAATCAGTTCCAGAACAACAGAGGGAAGCTTTTGGCCTTGAACTGTGATGTCCTTTGTGC